TATTATTATTATTATTATTATTATTATTATTATTATTATTATTATTATTATTATTATTAATACTGCTATCGCGTCATCATTAACTATATAATTTTAGAATTACAATGATTAATGTCGTAGACGACGACGACCGACCCCGCTTTTTCTTTTTTCGTATCGTAATATTGTTTACGACGAGAAAAAAAAATAAAGAGAGCGAGAGAGAGAGAGAGAGAGAGAGAGGGCGAAACAAACGGCCAAAAAAAGAAACCGCGCGATAATGAAAGAAAAAGAAACAGATATATAAAAAAAAAAGAAAGAAAACTCAAGGAGATAAGCGAATGAATTTTATTCGATCGTGATTTATTCGTAAGTACATAAATAAACATACATTTGGTACATATATATATGTACGTACATACATATACGCATATATACATACATAGATATATACATACATACATACATACATACATACATATATATATACACATATGTGTATACATATATACATACATATATGCATACGTACGTACGTATATATAAGTACATACGTACATACATACCTATGTGTATTTATCAGTGATATGTGATCTCTTGTCCAAGCACATTATTATCATTATTATCATTATTATTGTGATATATAAATTGAATTCGACTAATTAACTTTAATTAATCGTAAAATATTGTGTTGTTGATGTCATCACTCTCATACGTGAAACCTAACTTTATATTAACCTGCCACCCCCCCCCGCCCCTTTTTTCGATCCTTGCTCCGTTTACACTTTTTTTTTTCTTTTCCTTTTTCCTTTTTGTTCGTCTTTTTATATAAAAACTTTTTATAAAAAGTTAATCATTAAATATTATTTATCTGGTGAAATGATAAGAGAAAAAACAAATTTCGTTAAGGAAGAGAAGATTCATTTTTTTCTTTTGTTTTTGTTTTTCCTTTTTTTTATTTTTTTTGTTGTTTTCGTTTAATTGTACAATCTTTTCTTTTTTTCTATTTATTATTATTATTATTATTATTATTATTATTATTATTATTATTATTGTGTATCATACGTAAATACCGAAGAAGAAATTATTATATACCATATCTCATCGATTATGTTACATCGTACGTAACATAATATAAAAGTGAACAAAATTTTATTATTAGATATTTATAATAAACAAAAGGAAAATTGCATTGGAAGATCTATCGAAGGATTTAAAAACTAATAAACTATATCATCTCTTCTTAATTTTATCCTTAAGAAATTTTCTTCTTCGTAGTATTATTGCCGATCATTCTTTTTTTTTTTTTAGTATTGTTCCTTTTCTACAGGTACATTTGACGCCTGCATTTTTTTTCTTTCTTTGACGAACCTATAAAGAAAAAAAAAAAAAAAAAAAGAAAAGAAAATAAAAAATAAAAGAAAAAAATAGATTTTATGAAAGCTCCCTCATGATGATGATGATGATGATGATGATAATAATAATAATAAAAATAATAATAATAATAATAATAATAATAATAGAAGTAATAAATTCGAGCGCTTCTTAAATAAAAAGAAAAAAGAAAAAAGAAAAAAAAAAAAGAAAAGAAAAGAAAAGAACGCGTCCGAACAGAAATGAGTTAAACGTTTAAGCGAAGAATTATGCGCCGGATGACCTTGAACGATCATCGCACCCGGAATTTTCATCCGGAATGATCTTGAAACGATCATCGAAAGTGAACCGACGAAGTGAAGGTACGTATGTTTGTATTATTTCTGTTCTTCACTCATTTTTCTTTCTTCGTAATTTTTTTTTTGTCTCTTATCCTTGATATCAATCCTTGACCAAAGTCGATCATTTGGACGACACGCCAAGGTCCGATTGATTATCTCGTATGTTAATCAAATCTATTCCATTCGGAGAATTTATGATAATACGTAGAAAAATTATGTGTTATGATGATTACAAACTAAAAAAAAAAAAAAAAAGAAATAAAAAAGAAAGTATAATGCGACGTAACCTCGTCAATCCGACTAGTTTTTTCCCATTGGCACGAGCACTTGATCGCCATAAGAGATTCCAAATACGGGAACAGGAAGTTGATCGATCGCAATAGATCCACTAGATTTGTCATTGATCGACGACGTAATCTCTACGGTTTTCTTTGGTTCCTAATTTACATATAAAAAAAAAAAAAAGAAAAAAGAAGAAAAAATGGACATTAATTAAGAATCCGACAATTAGATTAATTTCCATGGATAATCGATATTAAATGAAGAAAATTTTCTCGTGACGTTTTTGTACGAGAAAATTTTCATATCCTTCTTCCCGTACATGCAAATTATTTAAAAGTAATTTAAAAATCTTTATCCTTTATCCCAATCCTAAATCCTTATCGATTATTGCGCATTGTTAATTTAATAAACGAAAAAAAAAAAAATAGATTTCTTTCAATGATCTTTACCGATACGTTCGTACGTTCCTTCTCGTTTTCAATATCTTTCGCCATTTTTTCGGCTATTAGAAAATCTTCCAAATGAGCTTTACGTGCAACAGTCGATACCTCAGCTGTATCTTCATTTGGAATTGTCTGTAACTGTGGAAGATTTGTAGCTACGACACGAAAACCATCGTCGTCGGCAATGTACTCGGTACTTTGTATTACACCGTTGTCATCGACGTAACTGTATGCACCATGTATTACACCATTTACAGTTTTGATCTCTGATCTCGCCGAGTCAAGTGTACTATAACCAAAGCTATAACGACCTAAACTATCCTGATAGCCAAGAAGTACGTTCATTATTGGACTACCAGAACTCTTTAATATCAGACAATACAATAAACATGATAACTGAAAAAAAGAAATATATTAGAATTAGAAAATTTTCAAGAAAAAATTTTCTTAACTTACTAATAATATCCCTCTCGTCATTCTGATTCGATCGTATTTGTGTAGTACATACAACGAGTCTTCAACGTCAAAAACTATATTAACGAAAAGTGCAACTCGCCGAAAGAATTTATATATGCAGGCAAAAGCTAATAAACGAAATACCACATCCCTGTAACAAATATTCACTTTTGCGTTGCTTTTTTCTTTTTTTTCCTTTCTTTTTTTTTTTTTTTTTTTTTTTTTTTTTATATATAAATATTTCCTTTTGGCATTGATTCTTTATTCGCGTATAAAAAAATTCTTATGTACGATGCGAAATAATATCGAAAGGAAATGGGACAAAAATTGAAGAAAAAAGGAAAAAACAAAAACAGAAAAAAAGAAGAAGAAACATGGAAGAATATAAAAGACGTAAGAGAGAAGAAGAGCAAAGAAGAAACTGGTCGGTACGATGGAGTCCGATATCAAGGACTCGAACAATAACAAGTACTCTTCTTTTTCTTACTTTATTTTTACTTTTACTTTGAAATCCGGCTTCGAAGTTTGAAACGCTAGCGATAAGTTTTTTTTTTCTTCTTTTTCTTGTTTTTTTTTTTCTTTCTTTCTTTTCTTGTCTCCCCATACTCAACCGGAGATATATAACATCTTGCTTTGCCCTAATACGTCGATCCTCAAGGTTCTTCAACTCGAGATATCATAACGTCAATATTTGTATCATCTTGTATATTTTTATTTATTTTTTTTTTTATTTCTTTCGTCACTACGATCAGCGAATTACGATGTTTCATGAAATTAGAGTAAATAAAAGGGATTAATCGAAAATAAAAGTTTTTCTTAAAAAGTTTCTTATGCTTTTTTTTTCTATCTTTTTTTTTTTCTTCTTTTCTTTAGATCCATCAGTTTCCGTAGAAAAGATCAATGAAAGATCTAAATTGATTATAACGTTTTATCCAGTTAACGTGCAATCTCTTTTCATATCTCCTAAGCAAGGTAAGCTTCTTGTAAATTGAGCATGGTACAACTGCGGTGTTATAGTTTGCGGATGAACGTTAAGGAAAAATTTCTTAGTCGTGAAGTTTTCTCTTTCTCTCTCTCTCTCTTTTTCTCTCTCTCTCTCTCTCAAGGCCGGAGAAGACACACGATCCCGTTTTCATTTCTACTGTTATTGGATGAGACACTGGCATGAACGTCAAGGTTCTAACGAGAACAAGTAGGATATCAACCTTTCAAATAAATAGTTTCTTTCTTTTTTTTAAATCTACATATTTTATTTCAAATCGTAAATAGAGATATTTATTTCAAAAATCAAAATTACTTTCGAAAGAGTTATGCTTCTAACGAATCACAACGAGATTAAATAAAACGTTTCGACGAATTGTTTACGTAGAAAAGGAAATTTTTTTAATAATTTTTAAGATTAAAAACGATTTTTTCTTTTTTTTTTCCATCCCCCTTTAAACATTATATAACCTTTCTGCAAACTAGAATTAGAAAATCATAATGATCTTCTTTCTCACAGATCCATAATGCCTAATTTAAACGTGAACGATGCAAATGAAAATAATAGAAATCCAATTGTGAATTTCTTTTAATTTAAAACAGATCGAAGGAACAACCTTACGTCAGATTGTATAGTGAAAAAAAAAATTCATTTATTTTCGATAAAAGGGTGGGGGGATGGGACAAAAAAAGAAAAAAGGAAACAATTGATCGAATTACGCGATTATTTCGTAACAAAAACGTATAATCGAGAATCTTTTTCGATCGTTCCAAATCGAATGATGTAATTCGGTCGATATTGAGTAAAAAAAAAAGGAAGGAAGAAAAAAAATGTAACGGGTAACCTCGAAATTTTGATAGCTAATTTCGATTCCACGTGACAAGTTTCTTCATCTCTTTTTCTATCTCTCTCTCTCTGTCTCTCTCTCTCTCTGTTTTTTCGATCGGAATGCGCGGAGAATTTCGACGTTGTAAGGTTAAGAATAATAATAATAATAATAATAATAATAATGATGATGATGATAATAATAATAATAATAAAAAAACGAAGAATAAAAAAGAAAAAAGGCGAGATCAAATTCGTTCTTAGGTGTAGTAGACGTGAGACGAGGAGAAATGTCAATGTCATACGTATCAAATTTTATTGAACAGGGCAATGCGTTTCCTGTATATCGTCGTTCCCTCCGCAATAACGTAAACGTGTGCCCCAGGTTTTTCTGGTTGGGATGCCTTGCGGGAGACTTTTTCCCAAAGGGGTATATAAAACCGTGTAACGAAGGTAGATGAACAACACAATACGTAGGTACTTTGGCGAGTACTGTTCACTTCGGCAGCGCTAAGGAACCAACATAATCCAATTATAATATCTCCCTCTTTGAGTTTCATCATGAAATTTCTCGTGAGTATTATTATTCAAGTGTTATTATTTAGAATGGCGCAAATGAAAAAAGAAAAAAAAAGAAAGAAGAAAAAAAAAAAAGAACAGATCAATCGTTTCCCTTTTCGTTTTATTATATCTTTTTTATCCCAATCAAAAAATTCCAATTCAATTCTTTTCTATCAATCTATCAGGTCAGTCCAAAATTTCTAAAAGCATTATCGAATCCCATACATGCTACTAATGCGCATGAACTTTTAGACAGACCTAATAAATATTATCAATCTGCAATTGGAATCATTTATTTTAGATCGTATTTACCGCCATATTGGCCGTTGCCATTGGTCATCCTGGAGTTATATTGAATTCAGCTCCACTCGCCTATGCAAGATTATTACCCGGTGCGCCAATCGGATTGGACGGACGAGTAGTTGATACTCCTGAAGTAGCTCTGGCGAAAGCGGAACATGCGGCAGCTCATGTCAATGAAAGGATCAATCTTGCCAACGAAGCTGTTAAATCTACTGAAGTTCTCGTACCCGCGACATACGGTGCTCCTCTTGTCGCACCACTTCTTAGTCCGGCATTATCATTAACGGCAACTAAATTAACCCCAGGTGCACCAATTGGTGCCGATGGACGTGTCGTTGATACACCGGAAGTTGTCATTGCCAAGGCCGAACATGCTGCCGCACAAATCAACGAAAGGCTGGGATTGGCTCAGGAGGCTGTCAAAGCGACATCCGCTGATCTTCCGTTAATCGTATCCTCGCCTCTTTTATACGCGAAATATCATTGAGACAAATCTCTTGTGGATCTTTTCTTTTCTTTTTTTCTTTCTTTCTTTTTCTTCTCTCTCTCTCTCTCTCTCTCTTTTCTTTCTTTCTTTCTTATTTTTTCTTTCTATTTTTTTTTTTTACAAATGTATGCCGATTTTATGTCCGACCGCGATTTCCTTGCTCAATCTTCTTACCATATTAAATGTAAATAAATGAGAATTCTTCATAAAATTTTTCAATCGTTACAAACGTTCTTCTTTTAATCTTCTAATCTTTTTTTTTTTAATCTTCGTTCCTTGATGTATCTTTAAGATGATTAGAAAATTATCTAATACATTTTTCTAATCATTTTAATAAATAATATTGGTTCATTATTATCATACCCAATTATGTTTCAATCTTTACCATCTAATACTTTCAAATTTCTATCCTTGTATAGAATAGTAGTAAAATAATTTCTTTTCTCTCTCTCTCTCTCTCTCTTTCTCTTTCTCTCACTTCAAAAAATTAATCAGACGACAAGCGTTATTAGTTCATTCAATAATCGAATCGTATGATATTGTATTTTTTTTCTTTTTCTTTTTTTTTTTTCTTCCAAATCTTTGATAACAATTGTTTCATTTGTCATTACGAATCGTCTCTTAACCTTAAATAACTATCTCAAAAATTATTTTACAATAGTTCTTATTGCACAATAAAGACAACGACAAGAGGAATAAGAAAGGTATTCTTTTTCTTAAATCTATTTCAACGTTACGTGCATTACGTCCTTGATTAAAAAATATACATTAAATTTGTAAAAGTTTGTCTTTTGATACAGTTTCGTGGATAAACAAAAGGAAAAATATGATTCATCTTTCACAACGTCGAATAAAAATCCGATCGATCAATCGATTCATACGTGATGTAAGATCACGTATAAAAAAGAAGAAAAAAGGAATAGAAAAAAAAAAAAGAAAAAGAGAAAGATAGAGAGAGAGAGAGAGAGAGAGAGAAAGAGAAAGAACGACGACGATTCGTTTCGAGATATGACATAACTCATTGATTAAGCTCATAGCTAAGCTTTGATTATACAAGTCCACGATGATATCAACTAAATAGGACAATGAAAATCTTCCGTGACGTAGTCATAATGTAAGCAACCAAGCAAGCAAGCAAGCAAGCAAGCAAGCAAGAAAGCAAACAAGTAAAAGTACTTTCCCGTTCTTTTATTTCTTACACGATTTGATTTGCTCTATGTCACGGGCCATTGGATATAGGGGCACGGTAGCCATGGCTTTTCACAGTGTCAAGAACCATTTGTCGACAGGTTGTGCCAACTTACAATACCCGGTCTAAGGGAAAGCAATTATCATTGATAGATCATTTCGATCGAACCGACATACAGCGGCAGCAACGATCCACGCTTGTCGTGCTAATAAATTAATGACCGTTCCTAATGGCTGGACCAATGACAGGGGGTGCGGTCGGTCACGATTTAAATATTATTTTCAAAATTTCTATTCTTCTCGATTGATCGAACGTGTTAAATATTCATTCGTAAGTTAGTAATCGCTCGTACAAAGAGAGAAAAAAAAAAGTAATTGATGCGTCGTTCGTAATCAAAATTTGATCTGAATGCGAATTGAATAAGATCATTTTGGTGTTAATAAAAAAAAGAAATGAAAAGAAAGGGAACAAAAAAGAGGACAAAGAAAAAACAACGGAATGATTCGACGAAAGAAAATAATCATGATTATCATGATCACGATGATAATATTATATTATATATCGTGTTTGCAATCTTATCATTAATTTCTATCGAGTAACAACAAAAGGGTTTACTTCGTGGTATAATAAAATTGAAATATCAAATTTCCATTGAAAGATCAAGAACTCCATTTAAATGTCAAGGGCAGTTGGCAAAAGGTGGTGCATCGAGGAAGCAAGTAATAATACTATCCCTTTTTCCATCTCACGCCTGATTCAAAGTTCCCTGGAAGGAGCGGTGGGTTAGCCCGATCACCTTTGACTCCCTCCAGGTAGATTACTTTTGTCCGAGAGGGGGCGGTTGATCTCGAGCTATAAATGATACCGTCCGACCATTCTCCAGGAACACAAAACGGTGAACCGAGGAACGAAGGAGGTGTATATGTGATAGGAGCAGGAGGAGCAGCAGCAGCAGCAGCAGCAGCAGCAGCAGCAGCAGCAGCAGCAGCAGCAGCAGCAGCAGCAGCGGCAGCAGCAGCAGCAGCAGCAGCAACAGCAGCAACAGTAGTAGTAGAATTACAAGCGAGTACTGGTTAAACCAGCAGCGCTTTGAAGAAGAAGAAAAAAAAAGAAAGAAAGGAAGGAAAAGGGAAAAAGGAAGAACCCCGTTCCTCACAACCCCCACTCACCACTTACAACAGGTCGTCATGCAAGTCTCGGTAAGTATTTTCGATGCCTTAAGAAGCGACCTATCGTTAGCCAACTCATGGCCGTCTACCAAGGAACAAAGGAAAGTGAAAGGTTAAATCGATATATAGATTCGGGTCGTTTACGTTCACGAGAAAGCCATTCTCGATGGTGCCACCTCGAAATCTACTACTACTCGAGTTACATACTTGATAGATACTTCATTTCAGATACTCTTACTGATCGCTATGATCGCGAGTACCAGGGCCGGTTATATCGCCCCCGATTCACCCTCATTTTATGGCGAGCCACAATTAGAAACCCAACGATCTCCAACAAGATTTCCACCACCCGCACCAGTTGGACAAGATGGTAACGTTATCGATACACCCGAGGTAGCACAAGCTAAGGCTGCACACTTTGCCGAATTTGCTAAAGCGGCTGCAAGAGCCGTCGAAGAGAGCAAGAATCAAAAGGCAACCTTCGACGATTCTTCAAATCCTAGAGCAACCTTGTCGCAATCATACAATAATTATCCTTCGAACGTTCAACAAACGTCTCCACCCTTATACAGACAACAAAATTATCAAGCAGCTTATCAACAACCTCAACCAGCTTATCAACAACCTCAACCAGCTTTCCAACAACAACAACAACAACAACAACAACCCTTTCCTTATCAAAACAATCCTTTACCACCTTTACAATCTCAATATAATCATCCTGCTGTACATCCCGTTAATCCTCCTACTTATCAACAAACGACGCAATACGAAAAACAACCACGGCCAAATTTCATTAATCAAAAGAGTAATAACTTTGGTCCACCTGCAAAAGCTACTTTCATTCCTGCTCCTCTTGCCGAGGACGGGACCGTTTTGGATACACCTGAGGTCGCTGCCCTCAAGGCAGCCAGACTCGCCGAACTCGCCGATGCCGAGGCCAGGGCCTACAAGTACAGTGCCGCCGCTGCTAGGAAGTTTCCTGGACCTCAAGGTCAAGGTGAGTCGCGCTTCTACCAACCCAACCGACAACTTACGTACGTAAGCTATATCGTCAATCCTAAATATTTCTATTCTTTTCAAATTTACCATATCACGTACGAAAAGAACTTGTTATCATTATTAAAAATTAAATAACGTTAGGATAAATAAATAGACAAATTTTGTCGATGATTCGTTGTTCAGAATTTGGACGGAAAAGAAAAAGAAAAAGAAAAAAAAAAAAGCAAGAAAAAAGTAATTGGTAATTTTTTAACAGCTACATCAGATCAACAAGTTTTGATAAATGATAAAGTTTTCACTTTCTTTAAGATCGATCGTGTTCAAAAATGATTCAAGTAAGACTCAAGAGAACAAACCGGTTCTTTGCTCGAGATAATCTCTTATTGTTCAACTCTCTTAACAAGTAAATCTCTATCTATCTATTTCTCTTTATATCTCTCTCTTTCTCTCCTTATGTCAAATTCCAAATCGATCGGATTTAAAGAGCAAAAACAATCCAATGAACAACCTGTTAATTAATTTACAATAAATAATTTACACGAACATTGTACTATTTTTTAAAAAATAGTACACTGAATAGAATAACTTTTGCTTGAATATTCCGAGATATAATCGGTTTTTTAGTTAAAATGAAAATTTTCGATTTTCACAGGATAATCTGAAAAACTGATAATTTTCAAAGATCCGTCAAGTATCATTAATGAATTTAATAAGAAATATAGTAAAAGAATAGGATAAGACGGAGATCTATATGAGGCTCTCGCGATTCAATAGTTAATTGCAATAAAGGTCAGATGCTTTGACAGTACCGTTAGATCGTCTAACACCGCAATTAAATAATAAATATATGTTCGCGTTTCTAACCAGTGATATCATCGATTTAACTAGATCACATTTTCTTCCCCTTTTTATTTCTCTTTAAACGCGAGACAATGAGAAAATCATAAATACTATTACTGTTATTAATTTTGATCAATGGAAAATAATGTCTCTGTTTAGTTTCGTTTATTTAGATAAAAAAAAAAAAAAGAAAGAAAGAAAAAAGATTCATATATTTCTAACGTCTAAACTATTGGCTAACTCTCAATGTTATTTTTCACGTTTCTTTTTCTTCCTTTTCTTTTTTTCTTCCCTTTTTTTATTTTTTTTTTTTTTGCAGCTTATCCCGAAACTCAGGCTGATGGACCATCTCCGATAAATTACAATTCGGCAGGTTCGCAATTTGATCCCTCTTATACAAGTGGATCATCGGCACAATCCTTCGCGCCACAGCAAGGACCTTTTTCTAAATCCTTCCAACCTGGCCAAGGATATCAATCACATAATAATTATCAATCGCCGCAGTACGTGTCAGGATCTTATTGATCACGCACGATCACAATTATTATCATATGCAAATCATTTGTAAATAATACGTATCTGAATAATTTAGATCTATAAAGGAAAGAAAGCAAAACAAAAAAAAGCATTAAAAAAAAAAAAAAAAAAAAAAAAATCACGATTCTATTCGTCGGACATTCGAAATCTCATTTTAAACGATCAAATTTATTTGTTCCTTTCTTTTTTTCTTCTTTTGTTCGTTTCCTTTCTTCTTCTTTCTCTTTTTTTTTTTTTTTTTTTTTTTTTTGTATTCTACCGATACTCTTTTTGAAATGTGATAGAATAAAGACTGTTGGAAGACTTTTACAAAAAAAAATAATCCTCTCTCTCTCTCTCTCTCTCTCTCTCTCTCTCTCTCTCTCTCTTATTTCGTATTAATTAGTTTTGTAAATACGATTAAAAAAAATCGAATGATCGAAACGGAATACAACGAGTAAATCATACGTCCTCTACGTTAGAATTCACATATGCATACGTGCGCACGTGTATGTATTTGACCGACGTAAGATATTAAAAAATCGACATTTTTTTTTATTTAAGTTTTACACATAAACCACAGGTCAACCTACATTCGATTCGCTCGTGGATCGTAGCGAATTCAATACTATGACGTTCGTAAAAATGATTTTTGCGATCTAGTTAATAGGAACGTTATTCCAGGGCCGCCTGCATGACTCTTTCCTTTTTAACGTCTAACGAAATTTCATATTCGTAGAAACGACCTTGAGCCTGATGCAATTTTTGCAAATTCGATGATAAACACGATGATTACATGTCATTTCTATCTTTTATTATTATTATTAATTATAATATATATATATATATATATATATATATATATATATATATATATATATATTTAATCTATAAGATAACAAAGACTCTTTTAATTATCTACTTATGAAAAATGTCATAATAAAAACTGTCGAAACCCGATAGATAAATACATACATCCATCGAATTTAAACGTAGATATATATATATATATATATATATATATATATATATATATATATTAATTGACAATTAACAAAATAAATATATCTGACATTTGATACGTCAAAATGAATTATTTCCTATCAATGGTAATACGATCTATTCGAAATATTTTCACGGCCGATTGAACCAAATAGCAGTTAAATCATTTCGAATTGACTGACAAGCTGTTGTCCGGAATTTTGATCACTATAACAGATAAACACTAACTAAAATTTTGCGCAATAACTTCCATTTATCTATCTGTCTATCTATCTGTCTATCTATCTTTCATTTAAGTAAATAAAGTGTCAACTTCGTTTTATCGCATTGTCATAGTATTTATATATCCACCTTGATGGATCCTTTATAACACAATAAAATAAATTAAAACTTAAGTTCAAAAGTTAAAAGGTTAACTTATCTTAATTCCAATATCGCAGAGGCTCCTCTAATCAACGAGTTGCGATTTATATGAGATCGACAAATTGTGGTAGAAAGAGGAACACCTTGAAAGGACCTAAGGTGGATCTATGATCCAAGCTAGTCGTCCGTGAATCGGCCATGTTTTATAAACCACAAAGAAAAGTTTCGTTACAACGGGGCACGATTGATTGCACCGCTACTTTGCGGTTTACATCGTGCGATAAAGTTGACATCATTGCGTGTGGGAAGAAGAAGAAGAAGAAGAAGAAGAAGAAGAAGAAGAAGAAGAAGAAGAGGAGAAGGAAAAGAAAAATCTTTATCTTTTGACGGCCAAAATAAAAAGGATCTCATTTGGATCCAATATAAAAAGAATGGCAATTAAACGACTATTGACATGATCGCGATGATCGAATTTATCAATCTTAGAAAATACTTTGTATAATTAATTAATTAATATCATTTGATTTATTGATTATGTCGTATCATATTATATATAAATAATAAAATCACTATTACATATATATATATATATATATATATATATATATATATACATATTAATTAATTGGAAAAGAGAGAGAGAGAGAGAAATTATTGATAATATTGAAATTAATTTTATTTTCAATCAAACAAATTTTTTTCCATCGATCATAATAATTGTGATTTCATATTAATTTGAAATAATTCTTGAAAACATTGAAATGAATTAATTTCAATAAAGATCGAGAAAAATCAATAATAATGATTTTTTTTACTTTTATTTCGAATGTGATAAAAAAAAAAAAAAAGTTTTGAATTAAATTAAAGATCTGAAAAGATATTAAACAAGATCGCCTATGACTTTTTCTACGAAGATATTTTTCGATAGGATTACTATCAGCCAACGAGTTGGAATCAAATCTCTCGGATGTTTTTACAAGGATCATTGTTGCAAATATCCCACGTTAGACCGCAAACGATGATAATAGTAATGTTCAAGGATTTTTTTTTATTCCTTCTTAATTATATCTCAGACAGATCAATGCAGCAAGGGGATAGAAAATAGATAAGACATTCTTGTTTTTTTTTTTTTTTTTTTTTTTTTTTTAGATTCTACGTTGCCTAAAAAAATATTATTTAAAAAAAAGTCGAGAAACGTTTACTTATCATTAAAAAATAAGAAAAACAAATCAATTATTTTCGAAGAAGTATTACGTTTCGAGTGTAAAAAAAAAAAAAAAAAAGAAAATTATAAATCCAGGATAATCCTGTAGATTGGTCACGGTCAAATAATATGAACCAGTATCGACATGATCATATTAATAAGAACCTTCTTTGTTCTTCCTAAGCGCTCTAACAGAGACCAAGCGGGAATGTTCTTAGGGTGGCGCAAGATCCTATAAAAGCGTGATCGATTGATCGCCTTGGCGCACTCCCTTCTAAGACGTCCGTTTTGTTGCCGGTGGTGTGTCCCAGCATCACAACGAGATGAGATTGCTTGTAAGTGATCCGAAATTAAAAAAAAAAAAAAAAAAAAAAAAAAAAACCAAAACAAAAAAAACAAAAACAAAAAACAAAAAGTGAATTCGAAAATCCTAGGGGAAAATATATATACGAAGATATCGTCGAGAAGAAAGTTTTTTAACGTTTTGATCATTCAGACTGATATTAAGGAGTTTCTTTTCCTTCTATCTTTTCTTTCTTTATATATATATATATATATATATATATATATATATTTTTTTTTTTTTTATCCATTTTTTGTCCATTCATCTCTATTTTTCTTTTTCCTTTTTTTTTTATCTATCTTTTTATCCTTCTTTTTTTTTTTTGTTTTTTCTTCTTCCAAAAGTTTTCGGGGAAAAACATTACAGTGAAGTGCATTCAAGAACGAAACGCAACAACCATAATTAGGAATGATCGGGTGACTTTTGTTCCAGATAGTACTGTCTGTGCTCCTCGTAATGGCGAGCACCGAGGCTAAGTACATATTGGAACCCATATACGAATATCGTGGACCACCGGCACCCCTATCAAAAGATGGTAGGGTATTAGAAACCGCGGAGGTTTTACGAGCACGTAACGCACACATGGCGGCACACGCGGAAGCTTTGTCGAGAATAAGAGAAATTGAAAGAAACGATTATAACGAGAGGATGGTGAGACCTACAATGATGTCACCTATTATGTCACCAATGATGTCACCAACGATGACAATGAAAACTAACACGAGAACGCGTTCGATTGCTCCGCTATCGCCCGATGGCCGTGTTCTTGACACTCCTGAGGTAAAAAAATTAAAAAAAAAAAAAAAAAAAAAAAAAAAAGAAAATACAAAAAAAAGAACGAGATTATTATTACGAAATATTTTCATATTGTTCGGAATATTTTCAAGCGCGATAAAGTAACGTCAAAGTATATCTAATCGATAAATTAAAAGTCATCATTTATGAAAGAAAAAATTCCTAAAATTATCGACATGCATATGTTGATTTAAAAAAAAAAAAAAAAAAAGAGTACGATCCACTGATGGCCTTGCATGACCTTGAATTTCGATAAGACAATCTTTCATAGTAAATACTTATAATCGACATTATCGATAAATCCATTAGAAATAATTGTCACTATTTAATATTTGTCAATAATTATTGTTCTGTTTATTACAAAACAAAACAAAACAAAACAAACAATCACCACCAACGACAACAATAAAAACAACAACAACAACAACAACAACAACAACAAGGTGGCTAAGGCAAAAGCTGCACATTTAGCTGCACATGCACGAACAACCTCAAGACTGGCCGCAGCTGCGGCTTCCGCAGCAACGGCACAATACCGATTGGACGTTTACGATGGCCGTAGAAATCTAGTATACCTGGCACCTGTTCGAGTTAATTATCCAACTGTATCCCCGATAGGATATCGAGGACCACCTGCACCAATTGGACCTGATGGACGTGTCATCGACACTCCGGAAGTTGCGAGAGCCCGTGCTGCTCACATGAAAGCACGAGCCCACGCGCTTGCAATGCTATCTCGTCGCGAAAATAATTATTATTAAATTACGAACGTGTAGAGAGCGTCGAATAATCTATATTAAGTTAGTTAAATTTAGAATGTGTCATCTCTATCTCTATTTCTATCTATATCCGTCTATATCTGTCTGTCTATCTTTCTCTCTCTTTCTCTTTCTCTCTCTCTCTCTCTCTCTCTCTCTCTCTCTTTCTCTCTATCTATCTCTCTCTCTCTCTCTTTTCTTTTTTGTTCTTTGTTAGATTTAAGATAACGAAGTAACGATTGGATCGAAAGTTCTTAGGCTTTGTGATATAACAATCTGAAGAAATAGAATCGTTAACTGAAAAGATTTAATCGATTTTTAAAACGATCCAAGAACTTTTCAATCACCCTTTATAGAATTTCTATTTCAATTGACAAAATTATTGCGATATCAATTTTAAAATGATCTCTTATTTTTTTTTAGGAAGTAACACCCATAAGTTGTTCGTTCGGAATTATTTACGTTATTATTTGTAAATTCGTCAATTTCCGTCGAAGGTACATATTTTTTTTTCTTTTTTTTTTTTTTTTTTATGATGAAACAAACGCGACAACGATCGATTGTCCTATTTTATGTACGCCCCTCCTCCTTCAAATCCCCATCCCGCAAAGTCCAAACATAAGAGGAGTTCATGGATTTTTTTTTTTTTGTTATTCACATCGTTGTATCTTATTGCATATCTCTTATTCGAGGTATAAAAATCATGAGAAAAGAAGTATTTGTTCGAGCTTTCGCCTATTAGAAAATAATGAAATTTCTTTGTTTGTTTAAGATAAATAAGTTTTCTATTTGTTAATTTTTTTTTTCTTCTATAGATATTAATTAGAAAGAAAGAAGAGAATGATGGTTAATTCGATAGAGACGATTATGTACCTGATTTTTCCGTCGTCTTTTCTCTCTCTCTCTCTCTCTCTCTCTCTCTCTGTTTTTCTCTCTATCCATCTGTCTTTGTCTCAATAGTTCGACAAAAAACTCATACGATCCTAATCAAAGCTTATCAAACTATTGTATATAGTTACTTATCGTAAATTTTTATTATTGTAACACGTTAATATTTTGAATCATTTTCAATCTCTAATCCTGAGAATTAATTTTCTCTATAAGAAACACAACCATATATATTATTTATAACGGCTGTATATACAATAAAATAGCCAAAGGTTTGGACAAATATCAAACGTTGAGAAAAAAAAAAAAATGGAAATATTAATATAAAATATTATAACGTCGTGTTATATAATAATATTTAGTCTCCCCTAATACCTATATCTATAAATGTATGTATATATACATATATATATATATATTATTATTATTATTATTATATTTATATATCTAGAGTTCTATTACCTCGATATTTTTTTCTCTCTAGAGTAACAACGAGATATTCTGGCCTTTGGAAACTTGTAATTCTACTCGCTTTGAGTGGGCACAACTTGCACTCCTTTTCGAAACCTACGTAAATTTTATGTTACTTCTCACTGATACATACAATACGTATGTATGTACATATATAGATACCTAAATGTAATATGTACATTTTGATTGCGTCAAACTATTCGCAAATAATTCTTCAAAGATATATGTATTATTATCAGTTATTGTTTAACTTAACATTTAATACGTTCATTTTTAATCTGATTCGTATATATATAAAAAGAAAAAGAAAAAAAAAAATCAAGAAGAAACAAAGCAAACACTTGAATAAAGTATTTTGAAAAATTCTATACTCTTATACATTGTCAAACTATATATTAACAATTATATATTAATGTTATATTTTCAATACTATATTATTATATCGGATAAAATTTTACGATAATCTCAATCTTGTTCATTTTGATTCGTAAATAAAATATTAAACGAACGAACAAAAGATATAAATGGAGAATTAAAAGAGAATATATAATTTTTGTCAAATTATCAATTATAAATTATAAAACTCTGTGCATATTGTGTGATATATATTTCGATAATAGAAGAACAATTTTTTCTAATCAAATAACATCTTCGTTAATAGATAGCACGTTAAAATTGATATCGTAATTTTATTATGAAAAGATAAAACGAAAGAGGAGAAGAAAAAAAAAAATAGTAAATCATGAAATCATATTATTCGTAGGTAATAGTAATAAAGTGTGCAACGACGATGGTGGTACTCGTTATCCAATGATAAATCAAAAACGATAAATCAAAAAATAACATGACATTAATGGCACTACCGTATTGTGTCAGTTCGATCGAAATCTTGTCAGGAGCGTGTTAATCGATCGGCACGTGCCGGGATCACTGTTGATCAATATAATACGATTTATACGATCTATAAAAAAAACGGCCTTCGCACATGTTGCATATTTACGTTCGCCACAAAGAACTTACTTTTGTTCACGTCAATGAACGTAAACTAATCAAATAGGATTGTTAACAAGAAGACAATATAAAGACAAGTGAAAAAAAAAAAAAGAAAAGAAAAAACAAAAAAAATAAAGAATTTGCTTAAAACAATATTATTCGAGATAACCTTGAAAATTATTTCCTTGCGATGAGAACTCGTTCGATACATAATTATTGATATAACGATTGATATAATGAGGATTGAAAATTCTTGATATAACTAGATTATTTATAACACTTTTATGTATACATATTTGTGTGCGTGTATGTGTGTGTATATATATATATATATACATAATATATTTAATAGCACCATACGCATAAAAGAGATTGAATAGAATTGATCGCTCGAAATGTAATATGACAATATAATATAAATGATAAAATAAAAAAGCAAAAGAAATAGACAGAAAAAGAAAGAGAGTGAAAAAAAAGAGAGATCTATGAATCGAAGAAATATATTACTCGTTCGTCCGAATAAATAATAAGAGGTAGTTGAAAATTATACTTGAAACCAGTCGGAACGAACTGAGCATATATACATATATATATATATATATATTTCTTCTTCATCTTCTTCTTAAGATTAGTCTTGGTACGAGGTAGATAAAATAGTCGAATATTATCTCGAGGTAGACTTTCAAAAGATACGCGAACGGAGTATCTTCTTTTAAATTGATTGCAGTCGAACGAACGTGATCAAAGAAATAAAGAAAGAAAAAAAAAGTTAGGAAATGAGAGATAGAGAGAGAGAGAGAGAGAGAGAGAGAGAGAAAGAAAGATCCTTTCAATAATAATTGTTTCCGTTGTTCCATGAGCCTTGATTCCAAGCACCATTATTATTCCAGGATGGATCATAGGCACCAGATGAAACTGGATCAGCTGGCCCGGCTGGTACACGTTGTGCTTCCGCATTGTAAAGAGAGAAATGTGCTGACTTAGCTTGTTGAACCTCGGGTGTGTCTACTACGCGTCCATCGGGTCCCAATGGTGCTGGTGGTCCACTGTTAGAAAAATAATGAAATAAATGAAATGACAATTGTTAATTGTTCGTTAAAAATAAAATCAAATTAATTGTTCTTTTAAATAATTAATAGAGAACCTGTAATGCGGCGCGTAACCAGCAGGTGCCGCATGAGATGGATAAGGTCCGGATACAGGTCCAGGTCCTTTCGGTGCACGTGCATTTGCCTCGGCCAAAGCCGACAAATGTGCGGCCTTTAATTGGGCTACTTCAGGAGTATCTACGACACGACCATCGGGACCAAGTGGTGCCGGTGCGGCATGACCACCATAACCAGCATGATGTGGTCCATACCATTGCGGAGCACCAAAGACCACGCTCAACATTCCACAAAATATTACCTAAAATTATCTTTCAATTAATTTTGAAAGAAAGTAACTTGTTCTCTTTTTCTTTTCTTTTGTTTTTCTTTCTTCCTTTTCCTGTTTCTCTTCCTATAAAATTGTTAAATATAATCTACTCACGATATACTGGATCATCTTGCCCCAATGTACGGACTCAATCAAAATGACGTTCTAAGAAGCAACGATTTCTAACTATCACGTCCGATTCAAACGAAGTCGAGAACTGCATTACAAGTTTCACTGACGTAGATCGTCGAATTTATAGGAGTAGTGACTGCATTGGCACTCGATCATGCCCCACCTTTTTATACTACACTCACCACAAAGACAGGGTCTTAACCACACCCAAGAAAATGCTCTCTTTAAGGCTACAACGTGTCCTGTAACATTTACCAAGCGTTAACAATGACATCGCTGAGAGTAACCTCGCCACGCCAATATACAACATACTCGCCATTTCCGTGAGCGAGTTATGCGAACCAACGATACCAGCCAACAACGTTCATGGGTCATGTTCAATAGACCTATGCATCTAAGATTTATCGACCTATGTATATCTTAGAATGATATATAATGAATGATGAAGATGAATCTCGTATATTTTTCTATTTCTTATCGTAATAGAATTCTTCTTCTTCTTCTTCTTCTTCTTAAAAAAAGAAAACAAAACAAAAAGAGAACCAAATAAAAAAAAAGGTAAAAAAAAGAAAATATCATCGTAATTGCGTCATTTGATTTATACGATACTTCGAATTCACAACCCACACAATAATGTCGTAAATAGTTTTGTCACTTTTATCGTAATGCGTGACAATCATTTATCAACTAGTAATTCACCACCAATATACGTGATTGTTTCACAGACGAAAGATTCCTTTCGCGAACCTTTGATAATCCAAGATCCGCGAGTATACGCAATCGATCATGTACGAAAACGAGAGCGTTTTCTCTTTCTCTCTCTCTCTCTTTCTTTTTTTTTTGTTTCTTTTATTTTCTATTTTCTGTTACTTCTCTAATGTAAGAACAATTGGATTGCCCTTACAATAGAAAAAAAATTCCTCAAGAAGAATTAAAATCTTACAACTCGAACCGCAGCTTTTGTTACGCATGAACAACGATAACTATTCGGAAATTTCTATCATATTAATTTTGTAATATCATTTGACATATTCTTGTCTATTTTGTGTAATAAAAAATGATCAAAAGTTTCATCTATCATTTAAATAATTATTACAGATTTTCCTTTTACCATTAATGCTGCCTTCGTTATCAACATTTCGATCTTGCTGCCATCTGACGAGTTTGTAAGATAATTACTTAGATGATTGAAACTATATTATCGATAAATCAAATCAAAATTTAGAGAATATGTAAAATACACTTTTCTTTTCGGATTTGTTCCTAACGTGTAAGATTAAATAAATCATACTTTCGATATATATATATTGAAAATCTAATATGAAATTAAATAGAGTTAATAAATGATTAAAACAAATTTATAAAATATTATATATAATATAAGTAAGAAATTAGAAGACTGATAGGAATTAACGAGACAAGAGCAGGTCTAAACACGTCTAGCAAGCTGTTTGGATGAATGAAAACTGTGTACTCTGTTATGCTTTAGTAAGGACGAATGGTGGGGAAAGTCGTGCCAAGGTTGAGCTCTCGATCGTCCTTTGATTCTTCACACGTGTTTTTGTTGATACTTCCAAACGTAAGCTCTCCGAATAGTACAGCATGTATATATACACACACACGCACATATACTTATAATAAGATTTTGTAATATTCGACTGTTTATCAGAAATTAGAAATTCGTCGGCAAATAATATTTTTGCGATCAATGAAAAAACTTTTAAGCTGTTATCTATAATAACCTAATACTAAATTTCTCTCTCTTTCTCTTTCTCTCTCTTTCTCCTTGTCTTTCCAATCTCTCTATAGCCAATAATAATTCTACAGGCAAATAGATAAGATATAGAGTTAAATTAAAAAAATAATTTCCTTTAAATACGCAAATTTATATAATAATTATCATCATATGTGTTAATTATTTATTTATTATTTTTTTATGTTTTTATCGTACAATTATATATATATATATACAAATAAATACTGACATCGTAATCAAAACTCATCGTTAGGATATATACGCTAACGCAATAAAAAAAAAAGATATACATATGAGATATTAAAAAGTTTCAATTTACGATATAAATAAATTATTTAATCTAACCTATATGACATCAATTATGTATTGTACGTGAAAAGGAATAAATCAACGCAGCAGATTTATATATAATACACCAATACGATAAACGTAAAAAACAAGATTCTTTGTCTTAAAAAATATACTAATATATACTAATTACCTGTAATTAATGTGTAAATAACGACGAACGTTCATTACGATATACTTAACAGAACACGTGAATTCAAAAAGACGCTAATTGGTTAGATCGAAATAAACTTGGACACGCATGCGTGGTATATTATTTTACGTATATCACGTGATCGTATATATAAATTAATTTATTAATTTTTATTTATAATTGTAAAGTAATATCTCGTATAAAATATAAGAAGAAAAAAATCTATAGAAGTCTATCGGCATTATATTAATCGATAATGTGAAATTAAATATTTAATAGAAATCATATTTTCTTATTTGATAATTCAAATTGATTCTTCTTACACACACTTCGTAAAACACGCAACGCACACACACACACATGCATACAAACATACATACACTAAAGTCGTAATAGCAAAAGTAATAAACATTATAACTATATAATTATTTATATATCTATTATCTCAGAGAAAATATATTAGATATTATTATATATTTACAAAGGCAAAGTTCACGAGGTGATCGAGACACTACCTAGTAGTAAATTCTGTAAGTTTTGTCATTTATACGGTGAACGTGTGTACACAAAATAAATTCATGTTCGATATATGTGACACATAAAAAAAAAAACATAAAAAAAAATAAAAAAAATAAAAATGTTTGGCACATCGAGAGAAATTATTAAAAGTTTAATCGTGAAATTTGGTGAGAAGTAATATCCAATATTATTAAAAGAAAAAGATGGTAGATTATAGTTTTCAAATATTTTTCATGTTAACATATAATAATTTTCATGGAAATATTCAGATTCTTTCGTTTATGATCGAACGATTATGATTTTTTTCAGGCTGTCAAAACAATATTTTAAACGTATCTAGAAAAAGATTTCAAAGTAATTTACCTCGTCAAGAAAGTGTTAAAAAAGTTTTATGTCAAAGATATGGACAACCAACGTTTATGTCTCATCCTCATTTATTGAAAGATGGAGAGGTTATGCCTGGTATACATCGTAATGAATTCGAACAAAGGAGATTAAAATTAATAGAGAATATTAAATTTAATTCTGATAAGATAGAACAACATAAATCACAGTTTGTAATTATACCATCATCTTCTAAAGTATATATGTCAGAAAAAATCCCATATGTATTCCGTCAGAACACAGATTTTTTATATTTCTGTGGTTGCCAAGAACCTAATACAATATTAGTAATTACATCTGTAGGAGATACTGTTACATCTATTTTATTTATGAATCAAAAAGATCAACATTCGGAATTATGGGAAGGACCAAAAACTGGAGTAGAGGCTGCACCCAATTTATTTGGAGTTAATAAAGCTCTTCCTGTGACAGAATTTGAAAGATTTTTCTTTTCCTTTATTAACGAACATAAAAATAATATAATTTGGTACGACGATAGCAATGTCCTACAGACTCAGCTACATACAAAGTTAAATGAATTGATAAAAGTAAATAATCAAAAGTTTACTTCTCCAAAAAATCTATTTCATAAAATACGTTCAATTAAATCACAAAGTGAAATTAATTTGATGCAAAAGAGTTGTGATATCGCTTCCATGGCAATAAAAAAAACTATACAAGCTTCTAAACCAGAAATGAATGAACATCAATTATTTGCAATAGTTGATTATGAATGTCGTATAAATGGTGCAGAATTTTTAGCTTATCCACCCGTTGTAGCTGCAGGAAACAATGCAAATATTATTCATTATATTTCTAATAATCAAATTATCCAAAATGAAGACATGGTGTTAATGGATGCAGGTGCATAAATATAAAAAAAATTCTGTGTTCTTCAGATACATTATTTTTCATTTAATATCTATTATAGGTTGTCAATATCATGGTTACACATCTGATATTACAAGAACATGGCCTATTAATGGTAAATTCATGCCAGAACAAAGGATTCTATATGAAATAGTATTAGATGTACAAAAGGAGTTATTGCAAAGGTTGAAAGAAATGCCAACATTAGATCAATTATTTCACTGCATGTGTTCACTTTTGGGAGAAAGATTACAAGAAATAGGATTAATACCAAAAAGTTTATCCGGAGATAAATTAATATCAGCTGCGTTTAGTTATTGTCCGCATCATGTAAGCCATTATTTAGGAATGGATGTACACGATACTGCCAAAATTTCTAACAGTGTACCATTACAACCTGGAATGATTATAACTATTGAACCAGGTAAGTAATCTTATAATAAGACTATCTTTTTATTACAATTCAACGGATATATATTTGTAGGTATATATATTAATCATAAAAATCCCTTGGCACCATCAAATTTCCATGGCTTAGGAATACGAATTGAAGATGACGTTTTAATAAAAGAAAGTGGTCCTTTAGTATTATCAAAAAATTGTCCAAAAGAAATTACTGAAATAGAAGCTATTGCAAGTGAGAATCAGTCTTAATTAAAATCGACTTTATAATAAAGTCTGTTAAAATTTCTTAGTATATAAACAAATTTATGAAAATAATTTAATGGAGGAAGATACATTACCCATCTTATTTTCTAATTAATGCTCACTAATAACTCAGGATATCATAGAAAATCAATTTTTAATTTTACATGTATATATATAAATTACACATATGTATATATATAAAAATTGATAACATTTGGATTAAACATTATTATAATATTTATAAATGCAAATCATCAGTTTTATTCAAAAATCTGTTTAAACGGAAACAAATGAATATTGTAAACTTGTATCCAGTACAACATCATCAAGAGTAATAATAATAATATATATGCAAGAAGTGCTAACATGAACATGTATATATAATAAAAAAAAATCAATAATATTTTATTGCATACAAATTGCTAGAATAGAAAAATAACATTCTATGGTGTATTTTAGATCAAAAATCAGTAAGTATACTTTATAATATTGTATACTAAAATTATTAAATGAAAATATATGGAATTATTCTTTCCTAAATCATACAAATGCATTTATACATTTTATTTTTTTTACAGAAGTAATCCAAAAAGATCGTTTAATCTCGTTAATAAAAAAGAAAAAATGGAATTTTTAAACTTTTTCAATATATCTAAGACCTCTCAATTTCTTGTCTGCTTTTTTCAAATTAATAAAATTATTAAGCTGATTTACACGCAACTTGGACCAGACCATGTGATCGTGAAGTGCATGTATTTGAGCAGCAGCAAGTGCTGCACTCTCTGGATATGCAACAGTGGTGCAACCAATTCCTGCAAATATGATTAAAAGAAAAAAAAAGAGAAAGCATTAATTAATTACATATCCTACAATATTTTTTAACCCTGTATATATATTAATGCAGTAAGTATTCAGTAAGTTACATTTACATATTTCATAATCTCGATTTGATAAGCAAATTTCGCAATCTCTGTACGTCAACAACGTATTTATATATATATATTTTTTTTAACGTTTATATATAATTAACATAGAAATTATAAGTTAATAAGAAATATATGTACATACCTGAAGGTACATTTATAGATGACCATATGTCTTTCGTAATCTTTCCTGATTTAAAAGGCGGACAATTAATGACTGGAAAAACAGTATTTCCAGACAATACTGGACCCAATCCATTACTTCTCCCTGCTACAGTAATGAACACCACCTACATGAAATAAAAAGAACTTCTGATATCAAAGAAATAAACAATGAACATAAATCACTATCTTTTTTTTATCATGTTTTTAAATTATCCTTGAGCAAAAGCCATTAATACCGCCTTAGGTCATTGCAAATCTATATATTATTACTATTCACGATTCCATTCTGTTAGAAAACAGTAATGATAATGATAATATTACTATAAGTATTGTACAAATTATAATTATTTTCCGAACGATTCATAAAAATATCAATTTGTCATCAAAATTTCTTTTTGTTTTTTTTTTTTTTTTTTTATATATATAAATTAAAAACGTATTGTCACATAAATTTATCATACAGATTTACAGCCAAAAATATCTTATTAAATAATATTTATTTTATTTAGCAATTCCTTAATCGATAAACGAAATTATTAAAAAGGATGATAAAATATAAATAATTCAAAATTTAAATCGAATTATAAATGATTTTTTTTTCGGCTTATCGTTTAAACGATCGTATGCAAATAGATCTGAAGTCTAATGATATAGTGATATATATATAATATGTTTCAATACCTTTTTTCCAGTACCTTCGTATTCAGTAAGAATACGCAAAGTTTCTTGAGTACCCTTATGTGCACTGCACACTCTAAGTTCCACTATTAAACCTAATTTCTTTGCATAATTTGCTATTTTTTCGCAATGTTCTTCGTCGGATAGTGAACCCATTAAAATAACAATCAATGATGTCGAAGATGGAATGAGATAATCCAATTGATCTACCACCCATTCGAAATTGCGTTTAACAGTATCCAAATCAGCTTGAGTCACAGAAGTTAAATTTCTGTACACCTGTATAAATATATATATATATATATATATATATATATATATATATATATATATATATAAATTAGAAGATTATGAATATTTACATTAAACTTATTAAGATTATAAGAAATATGATTGTCATTACTTGCTTATCTTTCATTAATCGCTTATCACCAAATGGCCATAATCTCCAGGAATCGCTATCAATAACATCAGAAACTACAATTTGATCGTGTTCATCTACACCAAATTCTAATTTCATATCTATAAGAGCGCAATCTCTTGTAGCCCAAGCTCTTTCAAGAATTTCAAAAACAGTCAATGCAATATGATGCATAATATCAACCTCATCTTTGCCAATCGTAATTCCATTTAATTTGAAATTGGCAGAAATTATTTGTTCTTTTGACCATTGAGGATCGTGATTGGTATCATCCTTATAAAATGTTTCTTGCAATGGTGGATTAAATCTGTATCCTTCTTCCACTCCTATTGAAAAGTAATATCTTTTGTTTATCAAATGATTTTTTTCTTTTTTTTTTTTTTTTTTTTTTCAAATACAAAAAAGATAATTTTATAAAAATTAATATCTACCTGGATGTCTTTTTAAGAAACTACCGGTAGCTAATCTTCTTATAACCCATTCAATAGGTATCATTTTACATTTTCGTGCTATAAAAGCTGTATTACTAGCAAGTTTAATGAAAGATGTATCAATACCAGCTTGATTCAGTAATTGAAAAACTTTAGCTGTTGTAGCTGTACTAATAGCAGCTTTGCCTTCTAATTTATGAGACTTTACACCATCTCCCGCCGTAATACGATCTTTACTTTGAACAAAACATGCTTCTAAATTATCCACAATCCCATAGACCATTTTGGTCTTACCTTCGATGATCAATTCATCAAGTTCATAATCTGTAATATAAGAAAATAAATTCTTAACTAATTGTTCATATAAATAAATAATTGTTTATAAAAAAAAGATCTGTCTATAAAGAAAAGATAAATGAAATTGATATTATCGATTGAAAATCATTGAAATCGTTTACCGATTTATAAATGATCCAATTGTCGAGAAAGAAATATTATTGGTTAGAATATCGTACACGAGTGATTTGTTTAATAGATCATTCGAACGAATATAAATTCAAAAATAATATAATCGAAAATGAAATAATTTATGAAGAAAACATTAAAATATTTGTGTAATAAAATGTACATTAATATATGTATACAATGTATGTTAATATAAAATGTGTTAATACAAATGTGCTCTCATAAATATAAATAAAAGTAGAAAGGAGAGAAAAAAATAAAGAGAAATAACGACTCACCAGTCATGTTAGCGATCTACTCTGTACTATACTCTACTATACGAGTGCCAATCAATCTTTCGATTGTGATGCTTAAAACATCGTCGAGACCATTCTCCCCCCTCCATCAACTACTCAATTATATTTTATTACAAGTTTAGAATCTACATAACCAATAATCTAACACAACATAACAACATAGAGATTTATTATTCATAACAATGTGTGCGATACAAAACAAATTTTTTTTTTTTTCTTTTTTTTTTCTTGTTTTTCATCGATAAATACATTTCTCTTTTCAATTTGTTCATATTACAGAATTATATCGAAGATTTATATAATCAATATAATACAATCGATAGATCGCGAACAAGTTATCGTATTACGAAAATTACATAGAAAAGAAAAGAAATAAAAAAAATATCATTTTCAAATATAATTAAATGTAATTAAATATAATTAAATATAATTAAATATAATTAATAACAAAACAATATTTGAAATATATTCCAAAAATAATAACGCGGCAATATGAAATGCAAAATGGCCGCTACCTACTTCCTCGTTGTCCCTTGTTCAAAGTTCATTAAGTTCAATAAGTAATTAAGATAAAGTTTTTTAAAAATACGATATATAGAAAGAGACAATTAAGATCTCAATAATCGAAACCGACTAAGCCCAATATATTAACAATTGTGAAATTTCCATGAAATTCATTTATTTAATGGAAAATTTTTAATCAAGATTGTTGGAAAAAAGAAAAAAACAAAAAAGAAAAAAAATGAAAGAAGAAGAAAACGAAAAACAATATATAAACAAATGGACATTATTAAATGATATATAAATATTTAAAAGAGAATAATAAAATCTTATTAAGTGAGATATAAGATTAAATAAATTATATTTTCAAATGTAAGAAAATAAATGGAGAAAAATAACCATAGACGAATATGTTTAACTGTAAATATATCAGGACAATTTAAAGTATTATCAATTTAAAGGATTATCAATGAGTTTGAATTTTATAATCTAAAGAAAATGAAGAAAAGGAATTATTTAATGTCAAAGGTACATGGTAATTTTACATTTTCTTTTTCTTTCTTTTCTTTTTCTTTTTTTTTTGTTTTCATTTCAATTTAAAAATCTAGAACAACCTTGAACCGATATTACGTAAATTATATAATGCGTGAATAAGATATATCTCAATATTTTTTTTATTGTGCGAGTAAGAGAAAGAAAAAGAAAAAGAAAGAGAAAGAGAGAAGAAGAGAGAGAGAGAGAGAGAGAGAGAGAGAGAGAGAAAGAAAGAGAAGAAAAAAGGTACGTAAGTATGCGTGATAAAGAAAGATGAAAAACGAAAGAGAAAAAGAAAGGATATATGTAATTTGTAAAGATAAGGATTAGAGGGAGTACATAAAGGGAAAAGGGACTATGGTAAAACTTTTATGGCAAACTTTATTCGGGGTAAATTGTATCCGGAAGCGAACCAACCGGTTTCATGGCGTGATCGTTTTCGTCTTCTTCATCTCATCGTCTCTCTTTTTCTTTCTCTCTCTCTCTCTCTTTCTCGATCTATCTATCTCTCTTGTGAAAAAGTCCTGACTGTGCGTAGAATATGCATACGTAAACGTATAATATATATGTGTATGGACGCATGCATGTATGTATATATGTATGTACGTGTGTGTTAGTGTGGTGGGCCAGAAAATAAAAGATAATAGTAAAAGAAGGAGGTAGTAAGAGTAAGGAACAAAAAGTAAGTTTCCATTGGTCTACCAGTTCATTTGTCGTTTGGAACGCGAGCAGTACGTTCTGTTTTATCGATCAATATAGTACAATCGATTATTACGCGAGGAACATAAGTGTTCCTATATTATAAGCGTTTAAGATATAGAGAAAAATTACAAATCTTGTGCGTGACTATATATATATATATATATACATATATGTGTATATATATACACACACATTATATATATATATTCTTATTCTTCGTACTTTTCATTTTTTTCTTTATCTTTTGTCTTTTTTATATATACATATTACATATATTTAAAAGCGCACGAGAAGAGAGGAAACCTAATATACGACGCACGTGGTGGTATGTATTTACATATATATATATATATATATATATATATATATATATATATATATATATATATATATATATATAGGATAACATGCGACTAACGAATCATGCACGCGACAAAGATACGGACGAAAAATCAATAGTTACGATCATGTCCATATATGATTTTTCATAACTTAAAGTGATTGAATTTTAAATTAATATCATAGTAAATATCCTTCGATCGTAGGTAAAGTTATACAACGTATTACTTTTCTTTTATATTTAACCTTCATATTTATGTATTGAGGCTTACTTATATGCATGTATACATATACATATACATATACATATACATATATATTAGTAAAATGATAGTTCACGAGTGAGTAGAATTTAATTAACGAGTATATTGGATCGTGAGAGAAATGACACGCAATCATAAATAGATCTATAGATCAATATTTATTACTTCCTTACTTTTTTTTTTTTTTTTTTATTGAACATTATTGTTTTCTTTATCTTTTTTTTCTCACCTTGTCCCTCTTTATGTATTAATTTTTTCTAACAAATTTTTTGTGAAAAAAATTTATTTCAATATTTGTTAAAATGTTATATTTTTATTAATACAAACGCGATAAACGTGTGTGTGTGTGTGTGTCTGTGTGTGTGTGTTATCTTCCCCTCTTTACTGATTATTTATCTTTAAAATAAATCAATATTTGTTAAGATTATATTTATTAGATCTCATTGAATTATCATTAAATTTACTTATTATGCATATAGTCAATAATTTATTCTGGATAAATATAAATGCTTTTCTTAGATGAGAGCATTACACAGTTGAATGATGAAATTAATTGCGAAATATTGATTATCAAAGAATGGTGAAAACATAAATCGTGGTATTTATTATAAAAAAAGCATATTATAAAAAAGCAAAATTCTTATCTAACCCCTTGGGGTCGATAGTTTATAAGAGCATTGACGATAATGTGAAAAAAGACTGTAGGGGGTCCAGAATGCATGTCTAAAAATGATATTTTACTTCATATTTGTTACAATGTATATCAACATTTGTCAAACTTGTAAACATATTGTTATATAAAATTTTTAACAAATTAGAAGAGAATATTTTTATGATAATATAAATTTATATATATATATATATATATATATATATATATATATATAAATGTAAATAGGAAAAGTTTTATTTTAACAAAATCTAACTTTTAAGTTTATATAAATTAATGGGGTGACTTTTAAGAAGCAAAACATGGTTTAATCTTTTCAATCATTTTGTTATAGATAAATATAAGAATGTCTCATGATAAACAAAGTGATAGTTGTTCTCGTGCGATATCATGCCTTACAATAAACGATGTACCAATAATGTTTACATCCAAAGATGAAGCTAGAAGTAAAGATATTTCTGGACTCACGCATGAATGTGGCGTTTTTGGATGTATTGCTGCAGGAGATTGGCCATCACAAATTGATGTAAGCCAAGTAATATGTCTCGGTAAGTTAACTAAAAGAATTTTAAATATTAAATCATGTTGAATGATACTATAATACTTTTTCAATAGGTTTAATTGCTCTACAACATAGAGGTCAAGAAAGTGCTGGAATTGTTACGAGTCAGGGTATCTGTTCAAAATCATTCTACGTTCACAAGGGTATGGGAATGATAAATAATATTTTCAATGATGAAAGCATGAAGAAACTTAAAGGCAACTTAGGAATAGGTCATACTAGATATAGCACTAGTGCAGCTAGCGAAGAAGTCAATTGCCAACCTTTTGTAGTTCATACAGCTCATGGTGCCTTAGCAGTTGCTCATAATGGAGAACTTGTAAATACAGAATCATTAAGGAAAATGGTAACATAATAAATCAGATATAATATATCTTATTTCCTCTATTTTTAATTTTAACTTTGTCAATTTTGCTTATTTGAATTAGGTATTAGGCCGTGGTGTTGGCCTTTCAACGTATTCAGATTCTGAATTAATAACGCAAGCTCTATGTTTAAATCCTCCCGAAGGTGAAGTTAATGGTCCAGATTGGCCAGCACGTATTAAACATCTCATGCAATTAGCACCATTATCTTATTCTTTGGTAATCATGCAAAGAGATAAAATTTATGGTGTTAGAGATCCATATGGAAATAGGCCTTTGTGTTTGGGAAAAATAGTACCTATTGGCAAGCTTGGTACATATATTAAAAAAAAAAAAAAAAAATTAAAAAAACTGGTTACTAAATTTTATATTTTAAAACTTTAGCAGGAGATGATTCAGACGATGATGACGAGGCCGAAGGTTGGGTAATCTCGTCAGAGTCTTGTGGTTTCTTAAGCATTGGTGCAAGATATGTTCGTGAAGTTTTCCCAGGTGAAATTGTGGAATTAACACGTGAAGGTATTAAAACGATTGACATAGTAGAAAGACCAGACAATAAGCCACAAGCATTTTGCATATTTGAATATGTTTACTTTGCCCGTAGTGACAGTATTTTTGAAGGTAACAATTATTAACATTAATATCTTCAATAAAATTTTTTGTAAAATAATGTTAATTTATATATTTTATCTTTTGATAGGACAAATGGTATATTCGGTTCGTATGCAATGTGGTCGTGTATTAGCAATAGAATCTCCGGTAGATGCAGATATAGTTAGTTCTGTACCAGAATCTGGTACAGCAGCAGCACATGGTTATGCTAGACAGGTGAGTTATATAATTAAATTATTTACTATCGTATAAAATTAACAGGAAATATATATATATATATATATATATATATATAAAAAAAATATATATATATATTGATATTAAACACATATATAATTTATATATTTCAGTCTCAAATACCATTCGCCGAAGTATTATGCAAAAATAGATATGTTGGAAGAACATTCATTCAACCTAGTACACGATTAAGACAATTAGGAGTTGCTAAAAAATTTGGTGCTTTATCTGAAAATGTTAAAGGAAAGAAACTAATTCTCATTGATGATTCTATTGTTAGAGGAAACACGATTGGACCTATTATAAAACTTCTGCGGGATGCAGGAGCAAAAGAAGTAAAATATTTTTACTTATATATATAAAAGAATGATTTTCCGAATCATATTTATTATATGTTTCTAATGTTATATATGTGTCTATATATACATTTTTATATTTATTTACAAGGTTCATATCAAAGTAGCCTCGCCTCCTTTAAAATATCCATGCTATATGGGAATAAATATTCCAACGAGAGAAGAGTTAATAGCAAATAAACTGGACAATGTAAGATTAGCCAAATATGTTGGTGCTGATAGTTTGACATATCTTTCTGTCAAAGGACTTATTCAAGCTGTTAGACATGGCATGGATAATAAAGAAAGCAGTTACATTGGTCACTGCACTGCTTGTTTGACAGGAGAATATCCTGATGAACTACCTGGTGATTTAGATTGGTGAAGAACATGGACAATCCATAGTTTGATAAATAAGAAATTGAATCCTCTTTTCCAATACAAACTTCAATCTATTTTTCTTAATTACCAGCAAGAATATTATATAATTTTAAGGTTTATTGACTAGATTTTATTGGCTATATACGTATTGAAAAAAAAAAAATATTTATAGCCATTTTGTTATTCTAAGCTGGTCGGCTAGTTCAGTGCAGTATTTTATATTTAACAATATAACTTAATTATGTTTGTAATCTATATATAAAATAATCTTTCTTGAATGGAAAGATCAATCTCAACAGTAGATTTTATTATTTATTAAATTATGTGTTACTTATAATTATACCTTGTCACTGATTTATATTTGCTTTGACAAATTCTTCTGCCACGGATTTTAATTTTTCTGATAATTCTTTCATTTTTGCCTCACGTTTTAATAATTTTTTATGCTTTTTATCAACATCATCTACAAGATCATTAACGATTTCCATTTTTTTTTCATCTGTATTAGCATTTTTATTAGTATCTTTATCTGTCTCTACATCATCCGTAATATTAGAAGTATTTTTTACAATATTGACTAGATTATTCATTTCAGTATTCGTGATAGAATCTTCAGGAATGTTATCCAATGTTAAGAGTGTTGATTCTGTATTATGATCGTCATTATTTTGTATGGATTTATCTTCTACAATTGTTGATTTCTTTTTCTGTTTTTTTGTTGATTTACTTCTAACAATACGTTCTTTCTTTTTTCTAATTACTTTAACAGATTTGCATTTTTTAATATTTGTATCAATAGAGAAATTACTAGCTTTTGAAGTAGATGGTTCAGGATTGATGTGTTCTAATATATTAACATTATCTTTTATAATTTCTTCGTTATTTCCTTTTTCTTGTAAAACTGTTTCATTTGTAGAAGACTTGACTGGATCCACAACTAAATTGGTATTATTATTTTCCAAATTTTTCTCGTTTTTATGTTCTTCTTTATATTTATACATAGCAAATGGATTATCTTCATCAGATTCTGAATCTAATGCAATACCTTGGGACTTCTTTTCCTCTCGAATTTTTTGTTTTTCCAAATAGGCACATAAAGCATCTATTCTGTTATCTCTTATATCCTTCCAAAAGGAAAGTGCTATGAAATATGATCAAAATTAAATATTAAAATGAATTCTTTGTATATACAATCATAAATTTAATTGAAAATACCTTGTGATTGATACATAGGTGGTACACCAGCCTGTTTAATTGTATCTTTATTTGGAATACATTTACTATGTTCAGAATCTCCAAGAACTTCAGTCCTCTGTTTGACAAATACCCTTTGCATTTTTAATACCTTCCTAGTCTTTCCAAAATATTTTAATGTTGGAGTTTGATCGAATATGGGATCATCGACAATGGGCTTGTCATCTTTTTCAAAAAACATAAAAGTTCCTACAACGTCTTCGTAGGTACCTTCATAAAACTAAATAGGTACTATCATTTAATTAATTTAAATTAATGATAATCTTGTAAATATATAAATTCAATGAAAATATTGGAGGAATGATATATTATAAAAAAAAAAAAAAAAACTTACCCTTCCATCAATTTGCATTATAGGATGATCCGTATCTATTCCAACCATATCTAATTGAAGTTGTCCATTTGTAAATATGTTATTATTAACAAATCCTTCAAATTCAACATATACAAGAATCTCCTCCTCGTCTTCAAATAATTCAGTATCAGAATCCATGTTTAAATAAATTTTAACGTCTATCTAACTTTAGTTATTTAGATTTTTAATAAATGCAATAAAGTGCAACAATAATAATACACAGTTTTATGCACTTGCAGTGAAACAGCAGCGCCACCTGACCCAGTCGTGAGAACTAAGCGAGTTGACGAGCATGCGCAAATAAAAGTATGTATCATGGATCGATTATCGTACGTAAACAAACACGCATCTATCGAATTAATCAATCATGGAGGACGGTGTATACAACGTACTTGGAACAGTGCTAAGAAAACCTCGAATTTGAGAAGTACGAAGGTATATCCTTGATTAATTATAATAAAAAATTTTTATTTATGTATATATATATATATATGTCTATATTTAAAAACAAAAAAAAACAATTATGTACAACACACTTAAATTAGTTTGACTTTTATAATTCTAAAAGCTCATAAATTATACTCAATATATTTACAAATTAATTAACAGAAATAGCTGGGCCAAGTTGATGCATTAATTTGTAACATTCCTGAAGTCGTTTTCTATCGCCAATTCTTTCAAGAGTTTTGGCAGCTTCTGCAAGCATACCAGCACGTTCACCAGGTGAAGATAATAATAAAGCTGGTAAGTGTCGACATGCTAAACATAATGCAAATGCGTGTTCTCTTTCACCATTATTCTGTTCTTGGGATCTATCTTTACCGCAAATAATAGAAGAACGTGAATTTCTATGATGTAAACTACGATCCAGTAAAATCTGAGTTTTTACTGGTGCTGCTCCTGCCATAATACGTGCTGTAGCTTCGTATAAGAATACTCTTGGTAATATGCACTGAAAATGATTAGATTAAAAACATGTACCATAATGAAACATTTTTTTTTATTATCTGTTTTAATGGCTACTCACTGACATATGTTGACACAACTGTCTTAAACAAGCTAAATCTCTTTGGAAACTGGCAAGAGATACATTACTAACTGTTTTTTCTAATCCACTATCAAATTCTTGCCATAAAACAGTACGTATCTCTAATAACCAATCACAAAGCCATAATTGTGTAAGCTGTAAGAATATAGAGTATATATATATACATATCATTATTATAATATAATATTATAATATAATATAAATTCAATATAATTACAAATAAAGTATTGAATGCTTATATACATGTATATGATTATTGCATGGTGCTGTGACCTGCCACAGGAGTTGCACTGTAGAAGTATTGCATAGTTGTATTTCATGCAATGCAACTACAATGCACACTCGTAACAGGTAAGCATGCTTCAAAAAAAGAAAAAAAAAGAAAAATAAAAAAGAAAAAAAAAATAAAAGAAAAGAAACAAAGTGAAGAAAGAAAATAGTGTTCACAGATGGAAAATAAAATTAAAATGTCACAGATACTCTTTCATTACAATTACTCTCATTAAATGTGAATAGAATTATTTTGTTTATCTAAAAGCATCTATCCATATGGTATAGATAAAGCTTACCATAACATTTTGAGACGATTGTTGTTTACAATGATAATAGACTATGGATTGCTCCAAGAATATTCCTCCTTGATCCATCAGACGCATTGATACTATTTTAGAAGAATGTTTAGCTGCTTGCAAAACATTAAGAACAGCATATGGCAATGGACTGCGATTACTGTTATTACAAAGTTGAAAATTTCTTTCATAAGGAAATTTCGTTTCTACAATATTCCAAACGGTTTCATCTTCATCGCCTAATCTCCATGCTGCAGCAGCACAAATAACTGCTCCCCACCAAAGGCCAACCTCATCTTCGCAACCTACGATAAATATTTATTATATATAAAATGTTATAATTCATGTGAGATTAATTAATTAAAATTTTTATACCTGCTACACTGATTTTATCCGTACTTGGAAAACAAGCTTCTACTTCCGCAGAAGCTATTATATTTCGTGCCAATTCTAATATGGTAGAAGCATGAGAATCTCCAGCAATGCCAGTCAATAGACGTAAACATTGTGTAATCAAATGTTCTCTATAGGCACGTGCTGCGAATGATAAAGGATCGGCTTTACTATTTTGCGATGTAAATTCGCTATCCGATTGTTCTCCGTATTGCCATTTTTGTGTAGCTACAAATCTTGCACCTTCGTCGTTCATGATCCATTTTAATTTTGGTGGTACGGCACACGAAGACAATAACATTCGTGCTTTGCCCAAATAATATTTATGTATAAATGGAAATAAATACTTTTTAAAACATAATGCCGAATTAACATATATCTCTGCCAAGAGTGCCTTTGGAATATTTTCATCTGCAGCTTCTGCATAATTCATAGCAGAAAGAGCAAGATAAAGTGTACTATTTTTGGATTTTTCTGATAAATGTAAACATAACATATGTTGATAAACAATGGCTATCTCCATAGCAGACAATTTTGCTTGTTGCCTTTCCGTCTTTGCAATAAAATATTTATTTAAATGAAGAATCCATTTTCCAAGCCACAGTTTATAAAGTATTTGTCGTATCACTTGCCACGTAGTGGCAAGAAAAACTTCGGTACGTGATAATGGAAACGAACGATTAAAATATTTTAAACATTGATGTAAATCTCTGTACGCTTGACTGTATTCTTGTTTTGATATATTAAATTCTGCCTGACGTCTCCAACGTCGAAGTTCCAAGAATATTTTACTATCAGTCGGGAGAATAGGATCGTCGTACATTAATAATCTGCATAATCCACCAATCAAAAGGATCATATTTGTAAACCATATAAAAATATTACTCCATATTCTGCTATCTATTTCAGACGATTCTAAATTTGAAAAAAAAAAAAAAAAGAAAAAAGAAACAAGATTTATAAGAAAACAATTTAAATTCTCTATATAATATTTTGATACGTAATTTATCAATATTATATTTACCATGAAAATCAAGAATAGTTCGTCCGTCCAATTTCGTATTCAAATACTTGTAATTAAACTTTTCAACATTGTTCATAACAGCGCCTAATGGATTAAATATCAAAAACATAAACATAATACCACATAATGTCAATCGAGTGTGATCTCTCATTCCTCCAGTCTCTTGTTTCGATGTTGTATGAAGATTTTGTAATACATCTGGTTCTTCCTTTACAGACGAAGGTGAGGCTGGAGATAATGGTGCTGGGGCTGGAGATAAAGAAGGTTCACTGGAGTCTGAACGTGGTGGTGTTAATTCACCACATGCCAATAAATCACGTATGTTTGGTCTTTGCGTTGCCAATTTTAATGACATATTTTCTGCTTTCAATTTGGCATTAGAATTTTGTAGAAATCTTATGTAATCAATAGTTTTTCTCAATATAGCTGATTTATTCAATTTGGCATCACATCCAGCAATAATATTTTTCAATTCAATAATCTTATCATTGATAGATGTTCTATAACGTCGTTCGATAGCATTATGAGCACTACGTTTTACTTCTCTGACTCTTGGTACACCTACGTGAGTGTTTGTATTTAAACGATTTATTTGAACTTTATCAGCATCCAAAACTACAGGAATTCCTAAAAAGAATATAATTGTTCAAAATATTTTTAATAACAATTTAAAAGGAAGAAGAAAGAAAGAAAAAAAGAAAACCACTTACCAGTAGTTAATACTGTTCCATTTGCAGTATTCACTAATGTATGTATTTGATGTGATACAGGATTAGATGTAATAGTTTGTGATCCATTGGAATAAACGACTGATTCTGTCTTTAATAATTTTGCAGGTAAAAATAATTGTCTCTGTTGTGTGACAGGTGCCAATGTAACAACCGGAGATTGAACATTGATATTCATATTTTGTGGTATAGTATATTGTGAACTGAATACCGTAGGAGGAGGTACTACAGATATTTTACGAGCTCTAGGTTGTACAGGTGGTACATCTTGAACAGGTGGAGTTTGTTGCTTGTTAACTATTGTTTCAGGTGATGACAAAACATTTCCAGTATTTATAGGTTCCAATATATTGGTATCTTTGAAATCCTTAAACTCATCGCTACTACTTAGATTTAAAAAGTCAAATATGTCTCCATCTATTTGCATAGGTTCTTCTAATTCAGAAAGTAATGTTTCATCGGTGAAGAGAGATTCATGTTTTAATAATTCCTTTTCACAATTTGTAAGAATATCTGTAATTTGAATAAGGTCATATTAAATTTCATATGCAATTATCATATGTATATATGAAAAGAAAAAAAAAAAACAAAGGAGAAAGAAAAAAGAAAAAAAAATCATTAAGACATAATAATACAATGAAAATTTGTTATAATACTTGTTGGGATTGTTTTATGACAAATGCATAAAACTCCTTTGAAATTAATTCTTCTCATATATAAGGTAACAATTCAAATGAAATATTGAAATAAGAGAAAAAAAGAAAAGAAAGAAAACCGTACATTTATGATGACATTAATTTAAAAATAATAATTAAATAGATATAAGAAAATCTAAACTGCAATAAACAAAACTCACCGTCTATACCAGCAACTTCGTTTAAATTAAAATTATCATTTCCTTGAAAAGAAAAATCAGTTTCCTGAGTGGACGGCCATCCCCCTGGATCAGTCATTTTATTAAATATAATTTCATTTATTAAACACTCAAATAAAACAACAATCTTTAATATTCAAGTCAGCAGTACGTCAAATGCAATAAACGAAAAAAGGACAATAATCATACGACATATAAGTCGACCAATCAGAGGTCTAGTAAAGATCAGACGATGTTGCGTCATCATTGTTCGTATTAATCATCATGAATAATATCTAAGATAAGAAACTCGATATTAAAAAACTATCAAGATGCATTGATACGCATCAATTTTATACAAAATTTAATTTAACCAATTACAAATGAGAAAGAAATATAGAATTGTTCATTGGTCGAATTATTGAATATTGTAGGAACTGCAATCCAATCGTGTACGAATCTTCAATTATATGATTCAGTCAAATTTCATACTTATTATAAATCATTATGGGTTTTCGAAGATATTTAAATAATATCTTTTACACTTTTTTTTTATTTTCTCTTTCAAAATTCCCAAATTATCAGAAATATATTTTAATATAGAAAATATCAAAATTTTCTTTATAGTATTTCTATGTTTTATACAGTCTATGCTTCTTTTCCTTGAACGTTGATGACGAGATATATCGAAGTGATTTTCATAAGTAAATATTTATATATTTTATCAATGAATTTTATTAATGTGTTAGAGAGTAATATTATGAAATCGGATCTTCGATTGGTGAAAAAACAAAGAGAAGCTGATTTAAATCTTGCAAGTAAGGAATGAACGAACGGATCTCTCCTTACGATTATTTCGTTTAGTAAATATCTGTATCGCGTTAACGACAATTAATTTCTCTTTTTCTTTCTTTCTGTTATTTTTTTTTTTTTATTTTTTTACTTTTTTAAAAAACACGACTGTATTTCAAACATCAAATGATAAATTTTTTGATTGTAACAATTGTAAGAAACGTATAGTATACGTATCTGTATTATACACGTACACATATGTAACATACACGCACACACATGTATATATATATATACGTACACATAGAGGAAGAAACATAACCCAAAAGTAATATTTTCCCGCGCGAAGAATAAAATTCGCGCCAAAGTGTTATCGCAGATTAACCAATCAGAGATCGGTTAAGAGTTTGTGACGTAGCGTTTAAAGCGCTATACGTCGAGTTGTGTCGGCCGCCGCCATGCCATGCGGTCATCGTGGAACTGACGTGACTATCTTTTACGTGCAATATCATAGAGTAAATCGTTAAGAAAATAAAATATTTTTCTTGATTTGTATTCTTCGTTTGTGTAAATGTGAGAATAATGTATCGTAATCGTTAACGTGAGTTCGTCGTTAAAGGACAAGTGACGTGTTCTTGTGAAATAGAAGGCGTAGGACCCGCTCCCTGTCGGTTAGAAATTGGCCAACGGCGGTAGAGATTTGAATGCATCGTTTAGTGAAACGAAGAAATCATTAAAGGTAAAATTTTCTTTCTATCTTCCATTTTATTTTTTACTTTGGTTAATTATATTTTTAATAATAAATATTATATGTCGTTTGACCAATGAGATGAAGGAATAATCTTTATATATGTATATGTATATATATATATATTTGTAAAACTTGGCTCTATGTGTTTTCGAATATGTCGATAGGTGGCTCTAGCGTAGCTCCCTTTGACGTTATCGTTCGTTGAGTGCTGCACTCTGGTAGTAGTTTTTTCAAAGTGACCTATGGTTACAAGCCGGTGCGGCCATATTTCTTATATTACTGATATATATATATATTTATGTATATATTACGATTCTCGTGGGAATAATGTTTGACGTCTATCTTTTTTCTTTTCTTTTTCTTTCCTTTTTTTTTCTTTGTTTTTTCCTTCCACCATTTCTTCTCATTGATTTTTATTACGTTATTTTTGTTCTCGTGATTATAATATATATATATGTATATATATATATATAAATATATATATATATATATGTACATATATATGTATATCATATATATATGGTTATGATTATCAAGAAATTTTTTTTTTATGTCGAGAGAACTCATTTTTCAAAGTGTTAAACTTTCTTATCGATTTATAGAGCATATTGTATCTGTGTATATATATATATATATATACGTATGTGTAGTATACATAATATATATATATGTATACTGTTACGTCGTCGTTGCGGTCCGAGTTCAGTGCACTTAGAAACACTTGCGCCATACACACACAAACGCGCGCTCGCATATACATGTAAATATATGTATATGGATATATATATATATATATGTATATAATATATACATATATAGGTGCTCGTTTATCGTTTTAAAGCCACGAAGAAGACGACAAAGCAATGACGAGGACGACGGTGACGAGTGTAACATTTTTGTAGTTACATTGTAAAGCATGAGTCATGTTTAACGAAACGAAACGAAACGAAAGGAATTATTTTTATATTTTCGTTGTCAGATTAGTTTATTCATTTTCTAATCTAGAATCTAAGAATCTATTTGTAATGGGATAGTAACATTTGCAACAGAAAAAAATGTCTCATTATCGAACGTATACGTGTTTTTTCCTTTTTCAATTATAAATCTTACACGATCGTTCTAACGAAATTTAACCAAAAAAAAAAAAAAAAAAAAAAAAAAAAAGGATAGAGAAGAAAAAAGAATTGACCAGAAGAAAAAGAAAAGTGGGACTCTATGATTCATTCTTAAAACGATGTTGCAACAAGTCGAACACGTCGTTCGCATAAAATTTGTTATTTTGTTTCGTAAATTCAATGGATATACATACATACATATATCTCAACGAAAGCATTCGTATCCTTTCGTATTTGGCGCGTTTTCTTCCGATTGGTCTGTTAAAATAATTTACAATGTTTTTTTTTTTTTTTTCTTTTTTTTTTTTCAAATAAAAAAAAGCAAATTTCTTCCTGAACAGAAGATACATGCATATATACATGTACACACACACACACACACACACATATTTTTTTCAGGATGTTATAACTTTCATCGATCTTAAACATTGTAACTTTTTTACGAATATTTTTACGTTTCTATTTATTATTGTTTTAAGCATAGTTAATCCTTTCTCTCTCTCTCTCTCTCTCTCTCTTTCTCTTTTTTTTTTCTCTTTCTATTTTTCCATGCTAACCAAAACTCGAAAGCTCACTCACCGACACCTGTCCTGCTACCTCGAAAAGGAAGAAGGAAGGCGAACCAACAGGTTTTATATACTGGGTATAACCCATTGGTTACGAGCCAATATACTTGTTCGAAAACGTGAACGATTTCAGAACGAAAATATCATTTTATTTTTATATATAAAATTTTTTTCTATATATACTTATACGTACGTACGTATATATATATATGTATATATAATTTCGTATATACGTTTTATGAAATTTTTAAATTTTTACAAACCAAATCGTATGAAGGTAGAAATACTAACAATGCAATAAGTGAATACGTAATAATTCGCGATTGATTTATTTTTATTGGGCTTTTTCGAAGAAATTGCGCCTAATTCAAATATATCCCGGATAAATTAATATAGAATGATGAAAATCAAGTTTAGAAGCGTGCTAAATAAAACCGGTTTATATATTTTTTCTATTCTTTATTATCTTTCTTTTTTTTTCTTTTCTTTTTTTTATTTTTTGTTCGCTTTTTTTCCGACCGTGCTCACTCTAAAACCGGTATTATTGTTGTCGTCGTTGTTGCATTGTCGTTGTTATTAATCGAATATCTATCACATAAATCGGGTTATATCGCGAGCGCGCGCTCGTGCGCTCGTGCAGAAATATGTGTCCGCGTAAAAAGGAAATTTATAGACTCCTTGGTTACTTAATGAGATGTATTTCGTAAAAGCTATTTTCATGAACGTAGAAAAAAGAAAGAATTAACGTGTGTGCGTGTGCGTGCGCTCGTGTAATTTGAACTAATTCGATCGAAATTGATCGAAATTGATTGATTACGTGCGTCTGGGGAAAAGGAAAGGAAAAAAAGTTTACCCCGGACTCACATTTTTATCATACGATATATATATATATATATTTAATTTTTTAATGATTTTTTATTTACATGATCGTTAAACGAATTTTTGCGATAAGAATGTGTGTGTATGTATACACGACACACATATATATATACATATATTATATGTATGTATATATATGTACATACACACACAAACACGCACACATACATATATATATAAATAAATAAAAAAGATTAATAAAAAGAAAAGATTAGTTCGTTAGATAAGTAAAAATTTTTCGCGATGAGAATCACTGTATTCGTTCGCGAGCAACGCTTTAAAGGAGATATACTCATATCTCTCAGTGTCTACTTAAGAACTTTGTAAGGTTAGGGAGAGTTGAAACGCTGGAAAGACGTATTCGGCTTCTCTCTCTCTCTCTCTCTCTCTCTCATCGAACAGCAACAGCAGTAGCACCAGCAAGCAAGAAGAGAAGTGGCAACGACGCGGCCACTCTCTCACACACACACACACACACACCATCACATCGCGCCGCGTAATAATATATACGTGTTGAGTATTGGATGTATATATATATATATTTTTCGATGGCAACAAGAAAGAGAGAGAGAGAGAGAGAGAGAGAGAGAGTGAGGAGGCCACACCATTGTCAAATCGACGATTGCCTTCGAGGTCATCGCAAGATTGGCCTCCGTGTCGACTGTTTTTTCTTTTTTTCTTCTCTTTTTCTCTTTCTTTCTCTCTCTCTTTATATATATATGTATATATATATATAATATGTATATCTTCTTTCTTTCTTTCTTTATTTATTTATTTCGTGACTCTCTTAGTTGCAAAATTTACTCATATTTTTCTTTTCGCTTGTATTTTTTCTCCAGGGATGCTGAAAGAGTCGATCGATAAAAAGAGTGGGGGAAAAAGAGAGAGAGAGAGAGAGAGGAGAGAGAGAGAGAGAAAGAGAAAGAGAGAGATGTTTTCTAACCTCTTCACGTGAAGTCTACGTTGGCCTAATTTTTTTTAGTGCACCGGAAGAGAAGCGCGTTTCTATTTATAGGTTAGTTTCCTACGAAATTCTACCTAAATCTTTTCGATAATATCGTTTATATAGAAGAGAAAAATTTATGTCGAACTCAAGAGATGCCCGAATCACATTTTGTGTTTGTGTGTTTGTCCTGCGTGTGTGTTTGTGTTCGAACATTGTGTATGTGAAACATATGTATGAGAATGTACATATATATATATATATACACGAACGATAGCCGCTTATACGGTCTTCCCCCAATGTCCAGTGAAATTCGAACGAAAGCAGCGCCATAACGACGCGCATGATTACACAAGCGGACTAAACACGCAAGTTGCCTGCATAAAAGAATTCATTTCTAACGAGGTAAGCTTAATGTCAATCTTATGTGAAAGTAATGTCGGATTATAAGGAGAATTTCTTTAAAATTTTTTTTCTTCTTTAATCGAATTTTGTAAAAAAGAAAAAGAAAAAAATGACAAACCAACAAAAAAAGAATAAATAGAGAGAGAGAGAGAGAGAGCGAGTAGAAAAAACATCCTACGCAATCGGAAAGAAATTTAGAAGATTTACTTTTAAGGTTATGTTTAACAATATCGTCAAAAGTTCAAAAAGGAAAAAAAAAAAGAAAAGAAAGTTATCTTTCAGAAACTTCATTTACAATCATATTGTGTGTACAGAATAGAGAGGTATAGTGGGGTGAGGAGGAGATGGGTCAAAAGTTCTTAAGTAGGTCGATAGTTCTTATTATATATACGACATTAAATATCAATTACTCTTTTTCGATATTTTTTAGGCTAATCATTTTTTTACTTTCTTTTTTTTTTTGTGAAATTGTATTTAAAAAAAAAAAAAAAAAAAAAAAAAAAAAAAAAAAAAAAAAAAAAAAAAAAGAATTTTTCTGGATTCCCTGGAAGATTGTATAATACGAAAAAAGTGTTTTTCGTAGAGAGAGAGAGAGAGAGAGAGAGAGAGAGAGAGAGAGAGAGAGAGAGAGAGAGAGAGAGAGAGAGAGAGAGAGAGAGAGAGAGAGAGAGAGAGAGAGAGAGGAGAGAGAGAGAGAGAGAGAGAGAGAGAGAGAGAGAGAGAGGAGAGAGAGAGACAGAGAGACTCGAGTAAAAAATTGTAATAGTATTATTTTTAATATTACTTCGAAACAAAACTTTTTGACTGGATCACAAGTATAGATACTCCGTAATAATACTAACAGCATAAATCGAATACATATCGCACATATGTATGTATACATATGTATTTCCATTTTGGGATCTTCCGTCGTCGTCGTTGTTGTTGTCGTCGTCGTTTACGGATAAAGAGTAAGCAGTGGTTCTCACGCGACGTGTCTATATAGTACGTATGGAAGCGAGAGTCGATTTTTATAATTAACTAAATTAGTTCGTCGAATTAACAGATAGAAAATGATATAATCCTGTTAAGTTTCGACGATATCTATGGACAGGAGTACCTGCCGGAAAGGGAGAAGCTATTCATTGTTCTTTGACGACGACGAGATAGACGAGGATAATGACAATGACGATGACAATGACGATGATGATGATGATGATGATGGTAGTGGTAGTAGTGGTGGTGTTGATGGTAATAGGGTATCCTCTTTTTGCGAAACTTCCTGTCCATTGTACGAAGGAAGAGTTTATCGTACATTGAGAAAAGAAATATACTATAAGTACTCTTGTTTTGCTGGTGTACTATGTATACTATGCTGTGCTGTATTGGACTATTCTGTACTGTACTGTACTGTACTGTGCTGTGCTGTGCTGTGCTGTGCTGTTGCGCTTCTGATTTTGCCGACACAAGCAGAAGATATTTTCCTTTGATCCTTCCTTCCACTTCTCTTAGCCCTGCCCCCCCCTCTCTCTCTCTCTCTTAACCCCACCACTCCACCCACTACTTTTGTTCCCTCGCTTGAGAGAACAAACTGATCCCCATTCGATGGCTCCTCTTATATGCCATCATGGCGGATCGATATCCTTCCGTATCGTCTTATTTATTATCATTATTACTATTATGATTATTATGATTATGATTATTATTATTATTATTATTTTGTCTCGTATGTAATTTATGTAATATAGGTAATATTATTTTTTTGTATTTTATTCTATTTGTTTTCTCTCTCTCTCTCTCACTTTTTCCTTTGTTCTTTTTATCTTTATTAAATTAGGATTTTGACTTTTGTCTTTATTGGTAGGTGAAAAATCATTAAATCATTAGATCATAATTTTCATCTTGATCGTAATTATCATATCTAAGAAAGTCATTGGATAAAATTTACGAAGTGAGTTAATTGTTATCGGACAATGATGAATGAAAATATAAAAAAATGTTCAAACGATTGGCGGAAAAGAGAAATTTCGTCGATACGATTTCACAATGAAATTCATTCAAAGTCGATGGAAAAAATTCGATATCCGTGTGATCGTATGAAAAATACATGAGTTAGCAAACGGGATTTTTTCATTTTTTTTTTTTTTTTTTTTTTTTTTTATAATGTCAGTTGAAAAAATGTTATCTTTCAGAAACTTCATTTACAATTATTATATGTACACAAAGGTACAGTCAAAGTTTCAAAGTGGGAGTATACACACACACACACACACACACACATGTACACATCTTTTTTTATAAAGTGAACGAAAACTCTTCATATTTCACATTATTATCATTATTATCCTGTTATATTTTTTCAATTTTATTCTTTTTTCGGAAGAGAAACCCTGATCTTTGACTTCTTTCGTTTTCGTCTTCATCGTCATTAAACTTAAACCCAACGCAGCAAGTTTATTCTTACGCAGTTAAAATTCTAATCGCTTCTCAGGAAACTTTATGCCATCGTCCGTTGTGTAGTGTACATACATACGTGCGTATGTGCGTTAGATATCGAACATTTTACGAGCACGTTCTTGGAGTTCTTACATCCGGTTGTGTGGTAGAATCTGAGGGATCATCTAAAACTAACAACGTTATAATAATTATTTTTAGAGTCTTTTGTTTAAGATTTTAATACTCCTACATCTATTGCATATACACATACACACACACACACACACACTTTCATGTGAGTGATATGTGTATGGGCTCGTTTAACGTTCAACGGGCTATGAAAAAGAATTACAACGTCAAAACGTTTACGGAAGTTTACTCTCGTTGCTGTTGTCTACTACCATTACTACTAAATACTATTACTATTACTACTATTACTACTACTATTACTTTTAAAATTTTACTAAAATTTTTCTCTGAAACAGGAAGACATTTATAAAAGTTCGTCGCGTTACGTTAACTTTAGAAATGAACTTTCGTAGAAATCTGGCAGCGTTTAATAATCGTCAGTCCTCTGGCTCTGACCGTTGGTTGAATCATCCTAATCGTTCTCCGACGATCTTCACCCTTCCCCTTTATCCTCCTACCTCCCTCAAAAAAGAAAGAAAAAGAAAAGGAACAGGAACGAACGAAGAACGACTCGACTCGAGACTCCGTGAAATTAACGAGCTACTACTTCGGAGGAATTGCTTCTTCCG